AGATTGCATGTATATGTACATATGACGAAACATTCAATTTACAGTTATGTTCACGTGCACTCAAATATACTCTTTCATTAAAAATGACAGGGAGCTGTTTCATGTCATGACTTGTTTTACCAAAAACAAGATAAGTTCCTGCTTGACACCTTTGGTGAGTGGTTTTGAACTAAAAAGCTTTGAGAAAACATGCAACATTATAGGTATATGTACATGTAAATACAAATAACCGCATGTTGATCCATCAAGATAAGTCAAATCGATCCATTTTACAAGAATTGCATTACACCAACGTGTTTGAACAAACTTCAGGAAGTACTAACATTTGCAATTTCACACTGAATGCCACATACAAATGTAATCAAAAAATATAATTTAGTTCCTGTCAGACAGTCTCAAGTAAATTGAAAGCAGGTTTAATCTGCAGTGATTAATAGATTTTGTACCCAGACCTTTTGACTGTAATTTTTCACTTGAGAGAGTATACAATTGCTGACTGAAAAGCACTTGTCCTATTTTTAACTTAATAGTATCATTACTAAATACACTATTTACCATATGGTTAGCAGAGAATATTGACCAAAATTTTCACATCAGTTCATTACCTGTATAAAATATATGTATGTATATTGTCTAATCCATGTTGAATATTACTTTGTGTTTAATTAACACACATATTTATGTTATTAATGTGTTGTACATCTAGTTATCAGTCTGTCTGTCTGTTTGTCTCTCATCCATTACAGTGCTCATTTTAAGTCAATATTGGATGCAAAACTGCTCCAAGGTACTGATTCTGTTAAGATAGTTGAATTGAATTTATAATTTGAATTATTAAATTGTGTAAGATTAGATTGTACCACCCCTGCTGAATGTACCTCAGAGCTGTTTGTGGCATTTTATAGTGCTTTATTTGATAAACCAACACATTGGAAACTACTTTATCTAAGTAGATACTAGTTTTGCTGCAGGGGGTGCCCAATTAAATTTACAATTTGTTTTCTATTGTACTAATCTTTAGTCAATCTTCAAAACTTTTACTGAGTGAAAGTGCAGGAAAATGCATTTTATTGTTGTTATTTGTTGTGTTTTTGTGTGGTTGATAATATAGCTATTTCTGTTACTACCGTACAACATATAAACATTTAATCTTATCTGAAGCTGTGTTAAACTTGGTATTTTTTCCCCAAATAAAATCTATTGGCATGTTTACTTTCCATAGTCTTTTAATGCCTAGCTACAATGCTAGTACTGTAATATCTCATTACTCATGCAGATTTATGCAATAATAATTCCAAGAAAAAGAATACATTCTTGTACTTCCATTCATTGGCCGTTGAAATGTTCCTCATCATAATACAATCTCAGATGTTTAAACTGATAAAATTTTCATTCAGCCAATCAGAAGCTAACTGCTAAAGAGCGATAGTCATCCCACTGCTTATTGCATGAGCTGTGGGTCCCATACAATGGCGAGTGTTGTCCAGATCAACAAGTACAAAAAAAAAGGGTCTTTAGGCTTTTTGGAATTCATCAAAGAATATTCTAAGAAGTTAAAGTCAATATTTAATGCACAACACATTCATATGAAAACTTGCATTCATGCTTGCCTTGAGGAAAAGTGGATTGTATTGTATTGGGAAATCAATCAAATCTTACACATGTGTGGCATGATGACACCATGCTTTAATTGCATTATTTCTAGACATTAGTGAAGTATTGTATATAGCAAGTGGAATATTGCGCATATTCTAGGCTATCAGATGAAAATTAAACATGCAATTTTTTCTCCTACCTCTTTTCAACCCCTAGAAAATGCAATAATTCTAGCCTGAGGAGACACTCAGTAAATTTGCTCAGTTTGCATTATATAATTCAAATATTGTGAGTGTAACTTGGCATTGTAATAAAGTCAGGCTAGTCTCATTTAATACTAATATCTCAAGAGGCTGTCTGCTTCATTTAATCCCCTGTGACTAATGACATAATTAATAACAATAATAGAAAACCGCTTGTCCCTAAGGTTTATTAGCATGGTAAATTTGAATTTATTATGGCGTTATACATTATCTGTCTAACTCTATATCAACCTGATGTATGTACATGGTTTAGTACAGTCACAATATTGTATGACAGCTAGTGTTATGTCTTGTGTGTGAAATTTTGTAAGGTTCTATAGACAGATAGTGATGGTGACCTCATGCACCTCACCTTATCAATTCATACCAAAACAGTTAATTGAATTTACTCTAATGACTATTGATGGTAGTAATTATGTAATTACTAATTGTCTCATTAAAGTAATGATTAATGTATTCTTTTTATAACTTGCCATTTTCTGCTATATTATATATGAAAGCGAGGGCATGATGGGTATTCTTGTGCAGTGTATTGTACAAATTACATGCATTGTTTACTTGTGGCACCGAGAAAAGTTACTTGCTCTAAGCGTGAGACTTGTTGAGGGCATGTTTTTCTTTATATTTTTGTTGTCATGGCAATGACCATTTTTCACTTTCATAGTCATTTTCTATTTATCCAAAAATGTTAATTACTAACTCGTATAATTTTAGACTCAATGTATAATTTGGAATACATATATTTAAATATGAGCAGAATCACAACTTAGAAAGTCCTCACTTTGTGTTATGTTAAAGCATACCTGTGTTGACCTTAAACTCTCCTCTTTGGGATGTGATCAAAACACAATGCCTACTGTGTGGTCCATTTACAGTTTAAAGGATGAACCAATATTGCTAATTAAGGGATTGTACATCAGTGGTATTATATCACTCTCTAGTATTCTAGTTACAATGGAATACATCTTTATTTTATTACATTTTCATTACAACCATACAACCAAATATATATTGTTATTTTATTATGTTTTCATAACAATTCCCCACCCCGAAATGAACCAAGAAAGCACATTTATTGATTTGTCCCTAATTGGTAAGTAATTTATTGCTAGTTCATTAATAGCTTTAAATCTTGCTGTCAAACTAACCCAAGGTTGATTAATTAATTAAGTGTCACTTTACCTTGTATGATATTTCATAATGTCACATTCCTGTTTCAGACAGGATTATAAAACTGGCATAATTTTGAAACTCAAGATAACTATCAATGAAATTATCTTGGCATTGGTAAAATACTAGAGATGCATTCATAAAGCTTAGATGTCTTGCTAACTGTTTTTACAGTGGCTGTTTTTAAATATTTCAAAATTAAATTTGACAGTGTCAGCAGACAAATACATAATTAGCCAGCACCAGGTTTTGTGCAGCACAAAGGAACATAAAAAAAATAACATACATTCTTGTTCTATCATTTGTCTAGCATGAAAAGTATCTGTTTCAGTTTAGGAAGCCACAAAATCATTTAGATAAATCTTTTTTTTAAACTCTAGTAATCTATCTGCATGTGGAATATCATGTTTAGTGTCAAGTGACAAAGTCAGGTATATTAAACACAGCTGCATCTATCCTCTGCTGTCAATCACTATACAGGTCATCAATCCGACTTACATGCAACCTAATTTAAAATTAGGACAACAGTTGATTTAAGCATATTTCCATTTCCATCTATAGCTACATACTTTTGAGAATAATTGCGAAACACTCACTTACAGATATTTGACATACCTTTCTAGTCATCATTTTTTACCCATAACCAGATGTGTTCTTTAAAATGTGAAAACATCAATAACATTAATTTTTAAATTGGCATTTTGGCTGCAGGCAATTAGCACATTCCTAATTAAATTAGGAGCGGCATATTAGCATCTACAGTGCATGATAGCATCAGGGTGTGGGTTTTTACTACTTGCATGGGTAGCCATGTATGATGAAAGACCTCACATCAACAGATGGTATAGCAGTAGTGTACTCATGCATGTAGTACTATATCTGTACATGCACCACTGCATGGCTTTCATACTTTTATCAAGATTGTCCATCAGTTTTATTGTGTTTTTTGTATCTTGCTGTTACATTAATTTCATAAGTGCATTAATTCTGTTCAATATAAACATACATAGTCTAGGAAAGTTTATTAACATAATTTTACAATGTAATACCTTATAGTTGTTAGTGTTATATTTTATTTTTTATATCTGTATTTCTTGTTATTGTGTTGTTTTTTTTGTGTATGATTATTGACCATGGTTAATGTCTTTCCAATTCATTAATTTGAGTCAAATAAAATATACTATACTATACTACATACATGTTATCACTGAGACAGTACTCAGTCGCATCGACCTCCGCTGCACGTCTGTCGATATTCCTATAATTGTTTTCGTGCATACTTTGCAGTATCCTTGTAATAACCTCATAATACTACCGGGTACTAACCCATGATGTAATTTGTAAATCATGTTGCTACTTGTGGCGTCAAATAATAAAATCATGTATTATTATTATCATTAATCTGTATTGACTTTTGATTCTCTGGTTCAATGAAGTATCAAATGTAAAACAAAACTAAAAAAAAAAACACATTTAATAAAAAATTATTGATGAGACAGCTAGAACTGCCTGGATCAGTTCTGCTCTCACTCAGGAACAAAAAACATTTTAGAAACCATACTGAAACGATGGCTAATTAATTCCCTGTGCCACTACCGGTATATACACTCATATCTTTGTGAATATCATATTTGGTTATCTCTTTTTATGCCCTGTGTTACATTTTTGTAACTCTTTTTTCATCTACAATTTTTGTAAACCATAAAGTGTGCTGTACATGTAGTATGTATGGTACCTCAAGAGGACTTATTATTTTAAGCTGTGTGAGATATGAAATGATGCATCATATATTAAACCATTTTGTCCCAGAAAACCATAGCAACCAATCTCCTTGTACATGGCAGTACAACTGAGATGTACTCACTGTAACTATGTAAATAAACAACACTACCATTTCAGGATTGTTGACTGGTACCCTACTTTTAATAGTTCATCAATAGTTCTTGCGTTTTTCTGTTCATATATTTTAAGATTGAAGAAAGACTTCTGCATCAAACAGACCAAGTGGAAGCCATAGTCAAGGTCAAAGGTCAACCCAATGTGATAAATCGGGATTTGCCAGTGTATGAACAAGCATTTAGTAAGCATGGATTTGAAGTGAAAACTGCCAGTGGTTATAAGTCTGCAGGTAGACTGGTTGAAAGCAATGGTACTGTGTATAGTGATAATGAAGGTGGGTTATATTGTTATATATGTGTGCTATATCATAATAATAATATCATCATTGATATCATAGAAATCTAAGATTAAACTTATTAAACACAGAACTTATTAACTTAGGTAGAATGATCTGCAATTATCACAAGTTATTACATTTGTATATAATTTTGCATGTGTCCATGTTACAACAATCTCTTTTGAGATAAAAAGAGTCCTTTTTTGGAATATCTGTATCCTGGAAGTTGGGTCTTTTGGTGGGATCCCTGTGTAAGGGGGTGTGTTATTAAAAAATAGGTCTGTTGACATGAAATATGAAAATTATAGATCACCAAGTGACATGTGGGTATTATGTTTTGTAGATGAGGCAATTGAAGAGGATATTGAGAGTCAGCAACAACAGCAACAGTTAATATCTAATAATGAATTGAAAGGATGGATGGTATTGTTATGTATGACATTTACTGATGGGGATAGCTCTACATGTCTTAGCCAATCATCATATGCGCACCTTGAACCATATCAAAAGGTAAATATTCATAGTCATGCTATGTAAGATGATTCATTTGTATACCACTTTCAAACACAGGATAAACTGTGTTCTCATAACCTCTCCCTAGAAATTAATACTATTACAATATTATTAAAATTAGAATGTTTGAAACGAAGAATAGTAAAATAAAACAAAACTGTATCATCACACCATTCTTCTGATGTCACGATGTCCAAAACAGATCTTTTTAATTTGAAATTAAAATCAAATCATATGTTACATTCACCAAATGATTACATTGTAAAAGTATACAAATGATGCCAAGCCTGTCTGTCTATCAGTATCATTGCTTTATGTGTATATTTGTCCCAATCTCTTATATTGAAGTACACTGTCCCCCAAAAAATTACTTCATAAAACAGTTTTACGATTGATTATACTCAAAGAATGAGATACACAATTTGTTCTACTTTATTTTCTATACTTGCCCAGGTAAATCGTATACCAGGTATTAGGAATACTCTTTGGAAGAAGGACAGTTTTTGCCTTATGATGGGAGCTGCAAGAAGACTTCCCTGTAAGTTGTAAAACTAAATTATTTGATTTAACACCAAAGGGGGGGGGATTCATAATTCACAGGAGAAGTGCTGAGAAGAAGATACAATTGAAAAGTCAAATTGACATTACCATATGTGTGGTCTTATTTTAAAAACATTCAAAAGTAATTTAAATGTTTACAAAACAATAAAAATGTCAGCACGGAAGATATAGTACAGAGCTTCATGTCATTGTCATCTGTTTGTGAGAAGTATTACACAGTACTGACATTTGACACTTTCAGAAATAAATTGAATTTCTCTTTAATAGCACTGAGGAAGAGTGAGTTATCACCACTATGTTGGGTTCTACCAACACAGTATGAACAGTTTCTAAGTGTAGCTGATGCCTTGGGTCCTGATGCTAAGTGGGTCTTCAAATCACCAAATCCAGGTGGAACTATACAAATATTACAACCTACTAAAGAAAAAGATTTTTCCAAAGTTAAACAGTAAGTCGTGTATTTTGATTGTAGAATTTTATAATTGGGATATACAGCCTGAGGGATAATCTTCTGTTAACTTGCCTGGATTCTTTTTTCCCGACACTCGCCTCCATGAGTTTTTGCTCTTAAACAAGTTGTATTGTATTTCGTCTGATATGTTAGTATGTCTGTTCACAAATTTAAATTCACCTTTTGTCTAGATATAGCGACATACATCTCAAGACTTGTGCTGTAACTGTGTAAGACTTGCACTATATTCTTTTCTTTTAATGTCTTTTTATTTTAGGTATAAAAACAAGAAATCCGTTGTTCAACAATATTTTGCCAATCCTCTGTTGATATTTGGTATGCCAGTGAATATAAGAGCCTACGTTTTAGTGAGCTCAGTGTCTCCACTTAGAGCATTTTTACACTCAGAAGGCTTAGTGCATTATAGACAAGACCAAAAAAGTTTTAAAAAGGTGGGTTTCAATATTAGGTCATCAACTGGTTTATGACTTTCATGCAAACTTGTTATTTTCAGTCAGATTGTTAGCATGTCCACATCTGTGTCCCTTTAAGCCAATGTTAGTGTAATACAGGTGTGAATATATTGGCATACTTACTTTGGCATGCTCGTTATGTAATTAGAAATAATTAGATCTATTTTTATGAGGCACACTTGTACTAGCGTTATGTCATGCACTAGAAACACCAGGGATTATATCCTGACATGTGAGACTGCGTTGTTACATACATTTTGTTTAATTTGTTTGGATAATTTTGTCATAATTTTGTCATAATTTTGTCTTGCGGCAAGTAATATAATTGGATGAAATAAATTGAAAGGTGTTTGCATCTTCTATCTTGTGCTTCTAATTTGAGGTCGGTTTGACCCAACTTGTTCCAATTGTGTAACGATCTGCTCAGCATGTATTTCGTTATGTCATTTAACGAACAAGAAGTATTAGCTATTGATGATCGCTGATATAAATCAATGATGCAATAGACAGAAATATATTATTAGTCAGTCAGCATTCTTGTGTATATTATCCCTGATACTGATTACACTCTTTATAAAAATGACACTGATGTGAATGCAAATTTTCAATTATGAGTTCTTTATCTTTTTAATTATTCTCCTCAACTTACATAGTACAGCATAGTACAAATAAAAGAGTTATTTTATATTTTGTTGGTCCATATTTAAAAAAAATTACTTGCAATAAAAATAAAAGAACTGTTTCAAAAGTAAACCAACAGAGTGAGGTCGCTGTTTATAATAAAAAGAATGTTCTAGTTATGAAAACCAGCAATGTGAAGTTATTTTGTTGCATATAAACAGGATTATCATCAAAGTAATAAGTACCCTAAAAAACATTTTTTTCATTTTATGCGTTGATGTACAAAATTGTAGGTCACAATAAAACAATCCGGCCAACTCAAGCACACTTTGTGCCACATGAGTAACAAAGTGTACTTGAGTTCATTATGGATTGGCAAAAGTTCATTATTAGTCCTTATTTAGGCAAAGTCTAAAAACAGGTGATGTACAATGATGCACCATCTTTTCACTGATGGGCTTACCCTGAAAATATATGTAGAGGCCATTCTGAATTGTTGGCTCACTGTCAACTGCTGAGGGCGCCTGTCTTTAAAGTGAAAACGGTCTACAGCTTTATAAGACTTCTTATAAGACGTGCTGCAATTTAGATTTTGATAGCGATTATAATGGATGATATACAGTGATACGTTAAATAATGTTTATAGATGAAGACAATTCTACATCAGCACTGGTGTGTTGTCTATATGTAAATGTTTTATTATTGACTTAAAAATGTTGTTTACTAGGTACCTAACAGAACCTGGTATTTTGCACAATTGAAGCAGTACTTGAAACATAATCATGGACCAGAAGCAGCCACAGTGGCATTCAAAAATATGGAATCTATCATAGTTCAGACTTTGTTGGTTGCAGAGTCTACGCTAGCAGCTCATTTCGCTGGATTTACAGACTTCCCATCAGATGATCTTTACAGGTGAGCTGCAGTCAGAACTAGATGTGAGGTTGAATATAAAAAATGATTTTAAATATACATTTTTTCAATTCCTGTATGTATACATTATCTTATGGTGAAACAATCCTGCAAATTTTATTATTGTTTTCTATGTTATTTTTTTAGATGTGGAAACTGTTTCCAATTATTAGGATTTGATCTTATATTCAATGCGTCCTTGCATCCTATAGTAGTGGAGGTAAGTCTCTGAAACACTGATCCTTTTTATCTCTATTTGGGCTCTAGCGTTGTTAATACCTGTCTGAGCATTGAGCAACTTTTCTTTTGTTTCCAAGAAAGTATTCAAATATTGTTTCTAATGCTTAATGACATCAAGGGTAGGACGA